AGTCTCAAAACAAGATCAAAAAGACTTTTTGGCTGGATATAAGATTTTAAAACTTGGTAAGATGGACATTTTTTTGCAGTGTGACATCATTCAAACACACATTGTAAACAATAAACAATGCAGGTAATATACAGTACATAAATCCATCACTGTAACATGTTGGCAAATTAGCCCACAGACACACAGTTTATAAAATAAAAAAAGGAAAACACGATTGGTAAAAGAGGAAAGGATAACAAGCTGTGCAGAAAATAAAAATGTATTTGTGTGTGTTGGCAAACATGCAGCTGAATACACCCAAATCATCTGTTTGGAATCCCCCCATTAACATTTTAACAAGACTCTCTCAATATTAACAAACCATTGCTGGGGGAGTTTGCTCACTACTCAGCTTTAAGTCCCAAAAGACATTATTTAGAAGGAATTTATTGTTATTATTTGGTACACAGCATTGATAATAAACAGCAATAAGACAACGCAAAAGTGTTAAATCACATTGCAATAGCATATGGTGCTGATTTAATTCATCACAATAAAAAAAAGAGGCTGGCTGCAAACAGGATTACAAGAGGGTTTTTATTACAATAACATGTTAGTGGAAACATCAAGTGTTAAATCATGGAAAGTGACTGTGGAAGCAGACGGAGAGAGAGAGAGAGAGAGAGAGAGAGAGAGAGAGAGAGAGAGAGAGAGAGAGAGAGAGAGAGAGAGAGAGAGAAGAATAGACTGAAGGGGACGATAGGCGGTGAAAAAAGTGAAAACAGAGGGGGTCAACACTGGATGACAACTTCCACATGTCTGGCTCTGCCGTTTTCCCTCCGAGCACATTTCTCTCCATGCGTTGTCCAGAGCTGGTGGTGCTCGTAGAGGGAGAGAGGCCAAGTGACAGTCAGCATGGTTAGCATGATGACAGGCACCATCCCTACACCCTTTTTTAACTCACACTCATTTTTCTACACATAACTCCGTCTTTAGCATTGCTTTGTCCAACAACCAGCAAAGAGTCTTTCTGAAACATTTCCATTGTTTAGAACTGAATAAAAAGTACAAGCTAACATGAAAACTTGTTAAAAAATTAGATGTTCCAATGCTACTTCCTGCGGTTGGATCAAGAATTTCTCACTGGTTACGTTGTTGCAAATATTCACTGAGACTGAAACAGAAAATCCTTATGAGCCAAGTTGAGGCTCATGGGCCACATCCAACCCACGAATGACCAAAGTTCGGTCTGCTAATTGGTTCATTCATCTCTTAAGCCCAAACCCCTAGTTTTCTACTTTAATTCCTTTCTTAAGTTCTTTTAGTTAAACATAGATGTGTGGTATCTGCAGAAACCTCAGGATCGTAACTAGAAGCTGGTAAAAACCATTTCTATGAACATCTAGGATAGTTAAAAACTACAAGCAGTTGAAGATAAAACTATGAAAATAAAATTAAAATTGGTTTAAAAATTTGGCAAGTCAGAGATGTTAAAATAATATTTGTGTTAAATAGGATGTATAATGGGTTATTTTTTCTATTGTTTTATTATCATTACTTTAATTATAGGGTTCTGTATGTTGTATTCATGATTAAATGCAGCAAAATAAACTATTTCAAAGGTAACAGATCTTTGTAATACTTGGTTTATTTACATTATGACTTTAATTGCTGGATGTTCAGCCCTGAATAGCCCTGGTCTACAACATTTCCTTGTTGGGTTGTTAAGTCTAATTAATTTCTATGTATTCTTTCATGACATCATATGCTTCACTGATAAATGACTCATAACAGTGAATACCAAATATTCTGCCAAGTCAGCCAAAACAATATAATAAAGTCACACACTTTAAAGTTGTGTTTGACAACCTTATTTCTTATTGTGATACATCATTAGTGCAGGGGCGGACATGGGCTTTTTTGCAAAGGGTAGCACAGAGGTGGCCAAGGTGGTATTTTTAGAGGCCACAAATCAACAAAAGCACTCTGAATTTGAAAATTCACACCACCACAGTTAACTTTAAAAGGCTAAAATTCAGCCATTTTAGGGCTTATTAAGATTAAATGGGTTTCTGTCCTAAGTGGCATTAATATTTCCCAAGATTTTGTTTTGAGAATGAGAGAGTCAAAAGTTCCTCTCTTCTTTTCTGAAAAGATCCAGGGATTAAAAACTTGTGAATGAAAACGACTGTTTCAAAACTGGATGTTTTCCTTGTCCTTCAGTTTTTTTCTGGACAACAAAATGCTTTGTCTTCCTGGTCATCCTGTGGCGTATTCTCTGAAGTCTAAAATGACTTTTTAAGATTTAAATCTATCCGAGGATTTGCTTCAAGTAAAGCACCAATGGACCCTTGCAGTCGGATTAATGAACAGAATCTGAGAGATGCTCATTTCTCGGAGCACATCAGAAGGAAATTAATGAGAAAAACTGGACCTGTCCTCGGCCACTGCCGCTCTGACTCCACCTGACTGATGGGAAGATTAAGAAGCTCATGAGGCTTGCTGTGAATGGGGAGTCTGACATACAACAGGGGAGTTTGGAAAGCTGTGTTTTGTACCTCAAATGTGTTTGTAAAAGTTGTTTTTTAACAGAATATCCCAGGAATAGCAAATATAGCAACTAACTATGATTCCAGTTGTTGGATAATTAAAATATAACCGAATCAACTGTGACCCGTCACATCGAAACGAGGATTAAGTCCAAAAGTGGTATATGGAGAAATAGGCAAATATAGTGTTTTGACAAAAATTGCATTTTGTCAAAAATATAATGAATAAATGCTTTATCAGTGTATTATTTGAATGAATTGTCTGAAATTTAATCATAAAACAAAAATTTGAAGCACTTTTTTGAGCAGTAGCAACAAAAAAAACGGATTTTGAGGAGAAACGTCTTAAAATTTTGAGATTTTCCCAGTGAGCTAGCAAAGTTTTGTTTCTTTCCAGCTGGAAAATCTCAATATTCAAATGAAATTTGAGGTTTCCTCTTTATAATACATCAAAAAATTCTCATTAAAATGACATAAAATTAGGATTCAGTCCAAATATTTATATATTATTGTAACCAACAAGACAAATTAAGTCATATATATGGATTTGCTTATGATATCAGGATGATCCAAGTATCAAAATGTAGCTTTTAAAGCCAAGAATCTGAAAATGTAATGAGGTCATTTTGACAAAATTTGACTTAATCCTTATTTCGATATAATGGGTCACTAATGTTAAACTATAGTTTGTGAATTGCCAAAATAAAAACACAAATGCAGTCCTGATCCACATATTTATTAACACTATTGTGTCTCTAGGTTCCACTTCCACGTGCACACTGTGGACCTCGTCTACCAGAGCTCTTTGCTCCACACCCAAGAGGAGCTGGCGATGGTGATGGTGGGTCCCCTGACCTTGAACGCAGTAACGTTCCTGCTGGTTCTGATCAGATGGGGCTGTCAACTGATATTTGGCTCACTCCCTTCCTTCATGTCAAATTTTATCACGGCTCAGGGAGTGTGGACAGTCCTCGACCCCCTGGCAGTCTTTGCTGTGGATGCCGTCCTCGGGGTAAGTCACTTAAAAATAACTTGGACACTTGTGCACTTTAAATAGGAGTTCACTTTATCTTGGCAAAGTGACTTTAAATTACAAAAAAGAAGGGTGGGGGTGGACAGGGATTATGCTATGTTAGCGGGGTGTCTGTTTTTGGCAGAGGGCTTAATTTTCCCACTTAGTGTTTTTTAAGACTATTTAAAACAAAACCATTCATGACCAAACAACTCCTTATAATTGTCATTTATCATAAAGAAAAAGTCTGAACTTCTACAGCTATTCTGCCATTTAAGTTCTAAAAAACGTTTGGGATTTATTTCTAAACCAAACATTTCCATACTGACCATGTCCAGTCTAACTCTGAATCTAACGCTGCTTTAGGGTACAGATGTGTCCGTTTGGTGTTATCTTTCAAACTGTCTCCTCAGCGTCTCGCCTACTCCCCCGATGCGCCAGTGGGTGATGCAGCCAAGCTTTACTGGCACTTCTACCGAGTCGACCAATCAGGTGCAGCAGGCATCATCATCACACTGTTCCTATACTCAGTCCACCTCCTGCTTTCCATCACTATACTCGCAGTGTACCTGCTCAGGTGAGGCGCAAAGTCAAACCAAAGTCCTTGAGTTTTGTTCCCAGACTGAGTAAACATGGGTCTAACGCTAACCAGGTAGAATTTTTACCAGTGACACTAACATTGAACGGCTGCAGAGATAGTTGTGTTGGAACGAAAGCGAACAGAACAGGATCTACCAAAATAAAGCAGGAAGTAAAGCTGAGAAAAAACAAACCCATACAACCAGCCCAACTCAAAACCCTGTGATCCATGATGATTTTTAAATCTGAGAACACTATCATAAAACATCACAGAAACAAGAATGCATCGTTTTTATCTCATCATGGCTCAGTCATGGACAGACAGCAGTGCCTGTTTGCCAGGACCATTGTTTCCTCTGCTCCATCACACAGTAACAGGTCAACCCTTTCAGGTTAAAAAAATGGTTAGATTCTAATTCAAACTAGAATATTAAAGTATCATACATAAGATCATTTTATACATGAATAAATACGGTAAATAATTTAGTTTTTGAAAGTCAAAGCATATTAGTCTAATGAAAGATTCAAAATATGAGAAATGGTTTCAGATAAAAGCCAGTACCACCATCATCCCACTGGTCTCTGCATGCATGCTTACCTGCTGTTCTTTATTGTAAAAGTCACACAAATTTACATATTAAAAGTAGTTTATGGGCACTAGAGTCCTGAAATGTTTCAAAAATGTTCTAAAGCAGGGACGTCTAACTCAGTTACATGTGGGGGCCAACATTTCAAAACTTAGTCAAAACCAAGGGCCAATTCCTGTCCATATTTATTGAAAAGAAGTAACGCTTAAAACTGATATCAAACAAGTTATTCTCATAGAAATACAAATTCCTTTTTCCAAACTATGTTTTATGTAGCGGTTCGGGCATACAAACCCTAAGAAATGATAAAAAAGATTAGATATTTTTCTTAGACACTCTACTCATAATTAATTCTTTTACAGTTTCTGAGAGATGCATTTTGTCACAATCTGGCAAATTGGTTTCAAAAAAGAAAAAAACTTTGCCTAAAAATTCAATTATTTGATTTCATAATAATACACAATGAATGTGAAATAACTGCACTATGTATAGTCACAAAAAAGAGAAACAATCAAACTATTTTACATTCAAATTTTGACTTTGAAGCCGGGAGAAATGTTAACAAGGGCCATATTTGGCCCGCGGGCCTTGAGTTGGACACGTGTCCTAGAGGAACAGCTTGTGTAAAATGTTCCACAGTATTTGTTCTGGACCTCTGCAGACACCTTTACCCCTCACCTGCTGACTGTAACAGTGGTTCTTCACACTTTATTCTGCTGACACTGTTTTCCACTCAACTGTTGATTTATGGACACCTTCAAACACAGGCGATAGGAAATTCAACAGAAAACATTTCAGGACTTTGATCCTCCAATCTGGACATGCTGTCACAGGAACAGAGTTTTCCACGTCATTATTTTTGGACCACATCCTGCTCTTTTACCCTATAGACGCACACTGTTTTACTCTCAGTTTTTCACCTTATGAGTGCATCTGCTGTGGAAAAATCTCCCTTTGTGAAGAACACCGACAACTGGAAATTTCTAAACTGCATCCACACCTGAACAGTTCCAGTATTTAGGAGTGAAACTGGTTTTAAAGTGGCATTCATCGCGGGCTCCCATTGTCTCTTGGCTGTCAGCTTTGTTTCTCACCTTTTGTGGGCTTACAGAAGACCACATCACAGCTCAATCTGTTACAGCAGAGAGTTTTCATTCAGCTTTATTTGAGGTAATGCAAACTGTTGCTGTAGGCAATATGAAAGGATGACCCTTTTCAAAACACTCTGATCCCTGCCAGCCTGCTGCTTTAGTAACAGTCAGTTTGCCTCACGCCAAATTTAAACCACCTCATTCAGCTTTCACTTCCTTTCTCTGCACACACACACACACACAGACACACACACACACACACACACACACACACACACACACACACAC